AGTTTATATATATATGATGCAGCCAGAGAGCAGGAGAGAAAAGCAGCTGCAGGGAGCAGCCTGAGGAATCGGATACAGAGCAGCAATAGATTTCTGGAGGGGAAAGGGGGCGAGTCGGTAAGAGGAGAAGGATGCTGGAGGAGAGAGAGAGAAGGATGGAGCTGTGGAGGGAAGAAGTGACGAAGGAGAAGAGAGGGATCTGGAGGGAGATGGAGAGAGACAGAGTGATGTGGAGGAGAAGGGGAGAGGGGGAGGTATAAATATTATGTTTTACTACTTGGCAAATGCAAGGGCTTCCCCCTCCCCCTCCCCCATACATGTACCCCACTGACACACTCTGCAGTGCTGCATTATTCAGGCCTGTGTAACAGTATCCCTGTTTAACCCTGCGAGGGGGGGGGGGCACGAGAGAAGACATGAGATGCACGAGATGTTGATGTTCGTTCCTCTGAAACCTCGAAATGTGTCCAGGCGGATGTGATTCGCGGTGACAAGCGGACAGACCTCTCTCGACCTTTAGGAAATCAGTATCATAGTGTGTGTGTGTGTGTGTGTGTGTGTGTGTGTGTGTGTGTGCGGTCAGATTATCTCAACTCTAAACTCACAGTGATATTTCAGACCCACGACGAGTTAAACGTTATAGAAACAGTTACAGTGATTGTTCAGGACTCCAGTAAGACGGAACAAGCAGCACTTTATATGAGATCGCACAGTAACAGGAAACAGTGTCGTTAACTTGACAGGAAACAAACACAGTTGTGCTCTAATACGACAAAAATGCGTGCGAGTGGAGCCGGGGATCGAACTACCGACCCGCTCCACCTCCTGAGCCACAGCCGCCCACAAGCAATCTGTAGTGAATGAACTAGAGCAGGTCACTGTGGGATAGCTGCACTGTTCAGTATGCTGCTCCACACACACACACACACACACACACACACACACACACACACACACACACTTGTGCATATTTTTCATCCCCCATCGTCCCAACTTTGTCGCCTGACACATCAGATGTTTGGTCCTAATCCTCTTGAATCTATTTGTCATGTCAAGCTTTACCATTATAACATGACATGACATCATAACATGACATTACCATGTGACATGCGTGTGGGTGTGTGTGTGTGTGTGTTTGCTTTTGGATGTGTGTTCTAGTTTTTACACCATTGTTGGGTCCAAACCTGCAAACCTGAATCTGGAGACATCCCATTTAAAGAAAGGATGGGAAATAAGTGAATACACAAATGTAACCACAACGTGTTTGTGTGTGTGTGTGTGCGTGTGTGTGTGTGTGTGTGTGTGTGTGTGTGTGTGTGTGTACTCCAGGTTTTCTCCGCTGCATCATGCGGCTCTCAACGGGAACCTGGAGCTCATCTCTGTGCTGCTGGAGTCTCAGGCTGCTGTCGACATCAGAGACCAGAAAGGTGAGAGCGAAACACACCCCCATGCACCCCCAACACACACACACACACATTTAAACACAGATTAAGTGTGTGTGTGTGTGTGTGTGTGTGTGTGTGTGTGTGGTTGTGCAGGTATGCGGCCTCTGCATTACGCAGCCTGGCAGGGGAAGGCGGAGCCTATGAAGATGCTGCTGAAATCTGGTTCGTCTGTTAACGGCCAATCGGATGAAGGACAGATCCCTCTGCACCTGTCGGCGCAGCACGGCCACTACGACGTGGTGAGTGACAGCAGCAGAGCGATGTCACTCAGAGATTCAGATTATCACCCGAGGTTGAGAAATGTACTTCTGGAACCAGATCCATTTAAACTCTTGTGTTTGTTCCTGAGCTGTGTCATCGAGTCGTTTCCAGCTGCAGCGATTGTCAGTGACAAATCTGTAAAAAAAAGTAAAAGTCTGGGACAAACACTGCAGAGCCGCTGCAGCTCTACCAGAGAAACAACAACACAGCAGAGAACCGACCCCAGAGGACGCTCACATTCACAAACGCTGAAGAGACACTGACCAGATTAAGTAACCACGTGTTGAACTGGGACTAAAGTCAGATGAATAGAAAACGACCCGGCAGACGATGTTTGAGCCTTTTTTTTTTTAATGTGAATTAAAAAAAACTAAAAGCACAATGAAAGAATTCCTCTGCTGAGGATATTAAGCTCTTTCCTTGATTTCACAGCGATGCATTAACACGGGGATAAATTCTCTTCAACTTCATGTAAACAGCCTGCTGACGTCCGTCTCTGAGGAAATGTACCAAGCAAACCTAAAAAGATTAAAGCATATTAATAGAAGCTAAAGTTATATTTGTGTGCGCATGTTTGTTTTGCTCAGCTCTGCTGTCGTGGGGACGACGTGTAGAGCTTTTGATTCTCAACATCAAGATGTTCTTCTGTACGTGTGTGTCTGAGAAACCGCTTGTGCTTGAGTGCACGTCGCACAACGATGTCTCGTGACCCTCTCAGGTTTTGTCCTGGAAGTTTTTCAGCATCGTGTTGTTTCTGTGTCTCCAGTCTGAGATGTTGCTGCAGCACCAGTCCAACCCGTGTATTGTGGACAATGCGGGGAAAACCCCTCTGGACCTGGCCTGTGAGTTCGGCAGAGTTGGGGTAAGAACCTTTGTTTTTTCAGGATTTGTTCATATCATATAAGTTTTAGTATTTTAATTTGTTTAATGTATTTATGTTGTGTGTGTCTGTGTGTGTGTGTGTGTGTGTGTGTGTGTGTAGGTGGTCCAGCTGTTACTGTCCAGTAACATGTGTGCTGCTTTGCTGGAGCCAAAAAAAGGAGACACCACCGACCCCAACGGGACGTCTCCCCTTCACCTGGCCGCCAAGAACGGACACATAGACATTATCAGGTACACACACACACACACACACACACACACACACACACCCTGAGCTTGTGTGTAACACAACAGGGCAACAGTTGGACCCAAAACACTGAAGGAACAATGGAAGAAATTCGCCGCTGCATCGCTCACACGCTCCTCGAAACGTTTCGGAGACAGCTGACGTGACTGGAAACGCCGCGTCCCGCTCCGCCAAATGTCAACTCTTTGTAATCTCCTCTCAGAGGAGGCTCATTTTTCCAGACTCCACATTTGGAAAATAAATTCAAGGCAAATTGAGAGTTGTTGTCGTGGTGATGTCAGGACTCAGCACAAGGCTTTGGGACGAGCGGTGCGTCACGGCAGTAAACACACACCACATGGGCCATTTCCGTCCTCGTCGAGTGTGTCTACGTTTTTCAGACGTGAACTCTAGTTTGAGTTTTCAAATATGACGAACACAGCAAAGGGTTTTCAGATCAGACACGTTCACAACAATCTCCAGAACGTTCAAATGAGATTACACTTTACAATAACGCCGTAGCCTCGTGCATTCAACAATCTAAGGTTTTCATTTGGTTGGTTTTCGCTTGTCTGTGCTCTGGTCGGGGAGGTAGTCGTTCAGGTGGGGTACAGCCCAGCAGCCAGACATTTGATCGCCTCTTGGTTTCCCGATGGTCCGGGAAGAGTCCTGACGATGCCAAACCTCAGTGAAGGAGCCCACTGCGTCTCTGGGATCATCAGCTCTGCACACACTGTTTCATACTCACTCCCAGATGAAGCCTGGAAGCAATTAGATTGCAGAGGTTCTCATCAAACGTGCATTAATCCGCAGATGAAAATAGTCCCCCCAAAAAAATTCAGCATTTATTCCAGTTTGAGTGACGTTTGCCAAAACTCCTCAGGAAATGACTGCACATCTCATCGAAGAGCGAAAACTGGGTTTGTTTCCAATGTCAAAAGATTTACTTGTTCAGGAGACGAACACGTCGACTCAGAGACACAGACAGGATGCAGACGTCTGACACGACTCACCCTCTCCTCCTCCCCCCCTCTGCTCTCTGCTTCTCCCCCCAACCAGACTGCTGATCCAGGCAGGTATCGACATCAACAGACAGACCAAAGCTGGCACAGCTCTGCATGAAGCTGCTCTCTGCGGCAAGACCGACGCCGTGAGACTCCTGCTGGACGTGAGTGTAACTGAGCTGCTAGACCACCTGACACCGATACAGCCGCACTTAGAGGGAAACCATTCATCGTTGTGGATGTTTGTTTGAAAGCAAGCGAGACGATACGCTTTAATGACTGTCTGTGTTCTCGCAGGAGAAACTAACTCGTCGTTTAGATCCCGGCCTGTTAAAGGTTACGAGTCTTTGCCCCCGAAGCGTCTTCACAATGAACTCGCCTGAAAATCAAAAACATGGGGAGGTTGTAATTAGTAGAAGAGCTACAGCGAACGAGCGAGCACGGATTATATTCTGTTGACGCCCCGGGGTGTTTAATTAGTATGGGGGGGGGGCGGGCTCTAATTTATGGGGAACTGGATAGTGTGTGTTCTTTGTATAAATAAATACTTTAGATACAAGATATATTTGTTTTTGGTAGTAACATAAATTGACAGTTAGCAGTAAGAGCTCAGAAATGTAAACCCTCGTCTTCTGTGTTCCTCAAGATAATAAGTAATATTATTATTCTATTATTATAATAATGATAATAAGAATAACTTCTCTTCCACAGAGCGGCATCAACGCCACAGTGAGGAACACTTACAGCCAGACGGCTCTGGACATCGTCTACCAGTTCACTGCAACACAAGCCAGCAGAGAGATCAAACAACTGCTAAGAGGTTGGACGGATGGATGGACGGACAGACAGACAGACAGACAGACAGAT